CTAAGGCGGCGGCACATAATGCAGAGCCAAACGTCAACCTCAGAGATGCCCCAGGCCTCATGAACAGGTCTGCTGGAATGGGCCTCAGTTCAGATCCTCTCCACACGCCTATCGCGAGCATCCAAGAGGTTCCAGATTCGAGCCCAGAGGCCCACCATCGGGAAGATTTCACCACACCAGAGCGGTCGCGCCTCGGGTCCCCGAAACAGAGTCGGGGAAACGTAAGACTCGAGTAAGCCGGAACTCCGGTTTGCCGACGTTTTTTGACGAGCGCGTCCTGGATCTTGACGGTCCAGTTTCCGTGGGATGTTTGCAGCAGGAGCTCGCGTCAAATTTCAGACTGGGTCTCGTCGTTTTTGTGGTGGCCCCGTCAAGCCAACCCGAGTCCCCCGTGCCCGAGTCTTACGCCTCCCCGGCCGAGGCAAGACATCCGAGCAGGCAATCGTTGGGCCCGCAGCATGAGCAATGGGCATGATCAGTGCGCAGAGCTTGGACCGGGGGCCCCGTCTGCGCCCATGTGGGGAGGGCCCCGCCAAGATACGATCCAATCGATGTTCACGCTCGTCGAGGCAGGCCTCATCGAAAGGAACGACCACCCACCCACATCGACGTAGACGAGGATGTTCGGCCCATCTCCCGCCCGAGCCGCCTAGACCAACCTCCCACCGCTGATTACCCTCCCTCATGAGAGCAGCCCCCAAGAATGCGCGGTATTCTGAGGTGGGCGTGGAGCAAAGAGGCAGCACGAGTCGGGACAATCCGATTCCAAAAACGTAGACCGGACATGCTCATCGCGTGAAGCTGTGGGTGCGATCTCTTGGGACCTGATCATGTGGACCGACTCAATCTCATCATTTCCAGAGCAGCCCCACACGAGGTGTAGCGTCGTTTCTCTTTCAACACCGCACCGTGGGCAAAGACCACGTGTTAACTATCTTGCATCCTGGCGCCTCGCCTCAGGCCAAGTGGCCCTCGAAACATTGCAACAAATTACAGAGGCTTCCGAGTGATTGCCCTCGTTGACCCATTTCTTATGTCCGCATCTGAACACCGTCATGTCGGCACCGCCCTCCAGTCCATCCGCCCCAAAGTGTGCTGCACAGAATGGGAGAGGCGGAAGGAGAAGTCGCAGTCCTCGATGCTTAAACCTCCCACCAGCGTCGACCAATCGAATCAGGACTTCCTTCGAGATCTGGGAGCGTGCAGTCGGTGGCAGCGGCAGGGCTTCGAGCAGTGCGCCAGCGACGCCAGTGACGGGACGCCCTCAAAATCAGAAGGCTGTCCTTATATGCTCTGCCCAGGTCCGCCTTGCGCCCAGACGCTGCCCAGGCGAGACACTTCCACGCGCACCAGCGAGAGCCTAGAGTTGAGGAGGAGGAGGAGGAGGAGGAGGAGGAGGAGGAGGAGGAGGAAGAGGATGAGGAGGTTCTTTACTTATTCGGTAGGCAGGGCTCTCAGCAGAGTCGTCAGCAGTGACTGAATTGCTTGTCGCGCAAGCTCCAGAACTCCAATGGCCCGCGCATCGGGCCGCTCGCGAACGGAAGCTTCGGGCCTCGGCCTGTGTGAGGCCCATCATCGAATGACTCCAGGATCCCTCCGAGAGCACCCCGGGCCCATGCATCTTCTTAGCCTTATCGCTTACCACAAAGGCGAGCGAGGCACGCCAATTTACGGGATCGTCTGAATGCTTCTTTGCAAGTTCACTTTCCAAGTACAAGTCCTTTTGCCAAACGTCGTCATCACCTCGAGTTCACGCCCTCGAAAAAGGCAGCGGCCACGGCAGAGAGAGAGAGAGAGAGGCGACCTCGTCTCGTGGATCACCTTGCACAACCACAGGCAACCGTCGATGCGCACGAGCAAGCACATCATGCAACACCGCTTTTACCCAAGGCATGGACTGCGTGTAACCAGCCAGAATCGAACGCCCCATGATATCACCTCGGAGATTGTGCCGGCAGCCTGACGGGTACGGGGAGAGTTATGGAAGACGATCTCCACATACAGAAGATGAGCAGTGTAGCCCACCGTCGGAGAAAAACAAGCTGCACCAATAGCGACGGAATACCCACATCGACACATTTCTACACAAGGCGCTCTCCAGAAAAAGGCTCGTATTCGAGGGCTGGGTGGGTTGTTGTTTCCTCCTCGGCGGGAGGCGGCGGAAGGAGGGCGGAGGCAAAACGAGGGCGCCCCCGCTCGCAGAAGCCCCAGCCGAAGGCCCCCCGGAGGGCGGCGGAAGTAAAAGATGCACCCACAAGAGCTGAGAACGCGCTTGGCTTCAGGGCTTGCGGAGCGGCACAGGCCCCCAGTGAAGAGAGGTGGATTCGAAGCTAAGAGTGCTGGTGGCCTCGCTGCACGGCTTACGAAGTAGGGCGGCCCGAAGAGCACACGAGCTTCGGACCGCGCTATCCCAAGAATCAGTGTGCGCAGCACTCCAGGACTCAATCTCATCCCCACGCCGGGGGGGGAGGGCGGGCGGGCGGGCGGGCGGGCGGGCCGGCGGGGAGAGGGAGGGAGGAAGGAAGGGAGGGAGGGAGGGAGGAGAGAGGGAGGGAGAGGAGGGGAGGAGGAGGAGGAGGAGGAGGAGGAGGAGGAGGAGGAGGAGGAGGAGGAGGAGGAGGAGGAGGAGGAGGAGCTGGAGGAGGGGAGGAGAGGAGAACGACGAGGAGGAGAATGCGGAGCAGGAGGGAGGAGGAGGAGGACGAGGATGATGACGACGACGACGACGACGACGACGACGACGACGACGAGGAGGAGGAGGAGGAGGAGGAGGAGGAGGAGGAGGAGGAGGGAGGAGGAGGGAGGAGGAGGGAGGGAGGAGGGAGGAGGAGGGAGGAGGAGGAGGAGGAGCAAAGGGGTGGACCAGGGAGGAGGAGGGAGGAGGGGGGAGGAGTTGGAGAGAGGAGGGGAGAGCAGGAGGAGGAGGAGGGAGGAGGAGGATGAGAAAGAAGATGAGGGAGGAGGGAGGATGAGGACGAGGATGATGATGCTGATGGTGATGCTGATTTTGATGATGATGCTGCCGGTGATGAGGATGATGCTGATGCTGATGCTGATGCTGATGCTGATGCTGATGCTGGTGCTGATGATGCTGCTGCTGGTGATAATGCTGCTGCTGCTGCTCATGCTGATAGTGGTGGTGATGATGATGCTGATGATGATGATGATGATGATGATGATGATGATGATGATGATGATGATGATGATGATGATGATGATGATGATGATGATGATGATGATTAGGAGGTGGAAGGAACAGTGTAAGCACAAGACTCATGAACGATGCTGGAATACACCCTCCGTCCAAGCTCCCCCTGCAGAGGTCCCGACAAGGGTTTATTTCAACTGAGGGAGCTGCCCCGTTGGGAGACAACCGTTCGAAGACCCTCAAGCGCGCCAAAACACCATTCTCGGGACTCCAACGCCACGAATCAACTTGACTGTTGCGTCCTGACGATCCTGAATCGTGCTAGGACACCATTCTCGGGACTCCGACGCCACGAAACAACTTGACTGGTGCGTCTTGACGATCCCAAATCGCGCCAGACCGCCACTCCTGCGACTTCAACACCGCGAATCGACGTAACTGTCCTGACTCGCTCCGAAACGTCGCTCCTGCTACGTTGGCCATGGGACTCCGTGAAACTGTTGCAAATGTGTGAGACGATTGTGCGCGGCTTTTTCCACATTTTGCAAGAGGAACCGCTCTCAAACCGTGAAGCCCGTGCAAATGTTTAAGAATAATGTGCGCGGCGCTAATGCGAGAGACGTATTTTGAAAACGACCCACGCTCCATCCGTGGAAGTAAGCGGCCCCCTCCATCTGCGAAATTGTTGCCAGAGTTGGAGCTTCAGGGTCATACATGGTGCGGAATTCTCGGGCGAAACGCCAGGCCCGCCCTTTCGACCGGCCTCGAGGTGCGACATGGATGAGTTGCTTATCAGGAAAAGGAAGGAGGAGGTGGAGGAGGAGGGGGAGGTGTACGTAGGAGGAGGAGGAGGAGGAGGAGGAGGAGGAGGAGGAGGAAAAGGAGGAGGTGGAGAAGGAGGAGGAGGAGCAGGAGGGAGGAGGACGAGGAGGAGGAGGAGAGGAGGAGGAGGAGGAGGAGGAGGAAGGAGGAGGAGGAGGAGGGAGGGAGGGAGGGAGGGAGGGAGGGAGGGAGGGAGGGAGGGAGGAGGGGGAGGGAGGAGGAGGAGGAGGAGGAGGAGGAGGAGGAGGAGGAGGGAGGGAGTAGGAGGAGGGAGGGAGTAGGAGGAGGACACGGGGGGAGGGAGGAGGAGGAGGAGGAGGAGGAGGAGGAGGAGGAGGAGGAGGAGGAGGGAGGAGGAGGAGGAGGAGGAGGGGAGGAGGAGGAGGAGGAGGAGGAGGGAGGCGGGAGGCGGGAGGAGGGAGGAGTTCACGAACGCGGAGGGCGGAGCAGCCTGGAGGAGGAGGAGGAGGAGGAGGAGGAGGAGGAGGAGGAGGAGGAGGAGGAGGAGGAGGAGGAGGAGGGAGGGAGGAGGAGGGGAGGAGGGAGGAGGACGCGGGGGGGAGGAGGAGGAGGAGAGGAGGAGGAGGAGGAGGAGGAGGAGGAGGAGGAGGAGGAGGAGGAGGGAGGGAGGCGGGAGGCGGGAGGAGGGAGGAGTTCACGAACGCGGAGGGCAGAGAGGCAGCGGGGCGCGGAGCAGCCTGGAGGAGGAGGAGGGGAGGAGGAGGAGGAGGAGGAGGCGGAGGAGGAGGAGGAGGAGGAGGAGGAGGAGGAGGAGGGAGGAGGAGAGGAGGGAGGAGGAGGGAGGGAGTAGGAGGAGGAGGGGGGGGAGGAGGAGGAGGAGGAGGAGGAGGAGGAGGAGGCGGAGGAGGAGGAGGAGGAGGAGGAGGAGGAGGCGGAGGAGGAGGAGGAGGAGGAGGAGGAGGAGGAGGAGGAGGAGGAGGAGGAGGAGGAGGGAGGCGGGAGGCGGGAGGAGGGAGGAGTTCACGAACGCGGAGGGCAGAGAGGCAGCGGGGCGCGGAGCAGCCTGGAGGAGCAGCGGCTGGCGGTGCCTCGGCCGCCTCGCGCGGCCCGCTGCGCGGTGGCGGGGCCGCCGCCGGCCCCGCGGGAGCGAAGGGCCCGCTGCGCGGCGCAGCCGAGGTCACGGAGAGCAAAAGGCGGAGGAGCAGGGCCGGCGAGGAGAGCAGAGTTCCGGAGAGCCAAGGGCGGGGCACGTGCCGTGGCACCTGCTCCCTCCCCAGACCTCCCCGCGCTGTGACAGGAGTCACGGCGCGAGGTCTTTCGTCGTTTGGTTCGGCCTCCGGGGGCCCTTCCCCGGCCTCGGGACCGGCAAAACACGATTCAGGATGAAAAAACGGTCCTGGTGAATGGGTCGAGACTTTTGGGGACCCCGTATGAAAAAAAAGGACGACGTCGGACCTCTGGGTGGCACGTGCTGTGGCCTTTGCTCCTCTGCCGGGCCCCACTACTTGGGGCCCCCACTTGGGGTGAGCGCCGCCGCCCGCCTCTGCCCGAGGCGCTCGTGCCCCAACGTCCAGAGACGTGCAGAGAAGAGAAGAGAAGAGACGTGCAGAGAAGAGGAGAGGAGGCACATGTCCCAGATTCCCATGGTTCGGCGGCGAGCGATTCCAGCCCGGAGCAGGGCTTTCCCGATTTTCGCAACAGCCTCGTCTCTGCGCTGGAGGCCTCTGGAGGCCCCGATGACCTCCGCGGAGGCTCACAGAGGGGCCTGCAGCGCGCAAGGTCGGTCCTCTATCCTTGTGCTCCAATCGGCGGCGAGCGAGGAGGGGGGGGGAAAGTGAGAAGGAGAAAGCCCTCAAAAGGCGGCGGGGCTTCTCCGAAACCCTCGACTCTTCTGAAGAGGTTCCCTGCGTCTTCGGGGACGGCGTAAGACAAACTTCTCAGAAGGCCGGGGGACTTCCGAGCCTTCTGCGAAGGCCCGCCCCTTCTCACTTCCCCCCCCTGGCCACGCCGCCGACAGTATGCAGAGGCCCTAATGCTCCACGCGGGCTGCAGCAACGAGGGCCGCTAGAGGCCTCCGGCACTCCTGTGGAGCTACTTCCTGGGCCAATCGCATCGTGACATCCTTGCTCGTCCGGAGAGAAGCTCGGGGGTAGCTACGTAGGTGCGGTCGGGGGCGCTTGCTCGGCGCGCCGCGCCGCCGGTATTGGCCCACCCACGCTCTGGCTCGACGCGCTGAGCAAACGCCACGGCCCCCGGGCGTGGGGCAGGGCGCCGCGCTGCCAGGTGAAGCAGGGCGCAGCGTGTCGCAGGGGCCGCCGCCGCGGCGCGCGGGGCAAGCGTTCCTGGCGGTAGAGCCCCCACCCTGCCACAAGTCGACAGGCGAACTCCTTGACGATTCGCGACGTCGTTTCTGCGCTTTGGGGTCGTCGTTGCTTCCCCCTCGGCCTCGTCTTCCTCCTCTTCTCCCTCGTTCCCTCGTCGCCCTCAAAAAAAACGAAATCCCTCGTAACGCTCGGCGGGTGGAAAAAAAAACTCTTGACGATTCGCGAATCCCCGCCAGCCCACCCAGAGACCATCGCCAGGCGAGGTGCTCAGCAGCAGGGCCGTTGCCGAATCGGGGTCGGCGGTGTGCGGCCGCGCTGGCGTCTCGCTCGTGCCGTCCTCTCCCACAGGGCCTGCTCCCGCATCTCCGGCTGCGGGCAGCCCGTGGGGCCTCCCGGCGCGTCCGCCCCCGGCGTGGAGCCCCCCGCCCCGCCAAGGCGAGTGGCGAAGCGCTCTTCTGCGGTCTCGACCAAGGGGCCGCGGCCCCGCGCCGGCTTTTTTGCGGCCCTGCGCCCGCCGGGCCTGCACCTCCTCCTCCTCCTCCTCCTCCTCCTCCTCCTCCTCCTCCTCCTCCTCCTCCTATCCTCCTATCCTCCTATCCTCCTATCCTCCTATCCTCCTGTCCTCCTATCCTCCTATCCTCCTATCCGCCGGTCGTGTCCACGGAGGTCGGGGCCCAGAAGACGGGGGTGACTCTGCAAAGTGGGGTCCTCGCGGGAGGGAGACGTGTCCATGTCCACGGCCTCGCGGGCTGGGCCCGTGGGCCTCGATCCCAGGGATGCGGGGAGCGTTTTCGCGGATGCCCCGCGCGGAGCGCATCCATGCGGCCGCGTATCCACGGCATCGCGTCTTGGAGTCCAGAACGCGAGGGTGTGGATGTGGATGATATGTTCGCCGCTCATGAGGTCAGTCAGAGCGCCGAGTCTTGCAGGAGCCTGCAGAGCCGGGGTTGTAGTGATGCGGGCTTGGGCGCAGGATCCAGCAGGGTCCTGCAGGATCTCGCAGGATCCTGGAAGCCCTGATTGGCCCGGGTTCGGATTGACCAGGGTCAGTAGATCCCCGTAGAAGGGTGTTTTCCGGCCACGCGCAGAGGGGGATAGGGGGAGGGGGAGGGGGGAAGGCTTCTTAGAAACGCCCCTGCTGATTAGAAGGCGCGGGCCTTGCCTGTAGATGTACATAAGGCCGGCGCCTTTAAGAAGCAGCCTCCTTCTAAGAAGCCTTCCCCTTCCCCCTGCCCGCCTTGTGCGCGCTGCTAAGCCTTACTCGAGGAGGCGCGGTCTACCCCCGAGGAACGGCACAGACACCAGCTCTTGTTAGCTCCGCGGGGCTCTCTCTGGGTCGGCGCTGAGCCCTCCCAGCCTGGCGGCACTGCTGGCGCCGCCCCCTTGGCGCGCTCCGCGCTCCAGGAGACATGGGGGTCCCAACGCCGCCCCCAGGTTTGGACCCCCGAGCGGAAAACATCGCTTCGATGCCCCTCAGCACATGGGCGACGGACAACACAAACGGGTCCGACGGCGCCGACATTGGCGCGCATGCCCCCCGAGTACGGTTCGCGCGTAAGCGCCCTCGCTTCAAGTGTGGCGTGCCGCGCAGGCCGCCCGCGTAAGCCACCGCGTAGGGTCGCTACGTCATCTCGCGTGAGACCCGTTTCTGATCGTCGCTCACGTGTTGTCCCAAACCGGCAGCGGCTGTTGCTGGGCAGGCGGCCTGCTGCCTCGCACTGACAACGTCCGCGGCGACATTGACAGCGCGAGTCAGTCCTGCCTTCTCGCGCGCACGAAACGAGCTGGTCCGAGCCCTGCAGCTGATGACGTTGGCCCGCGCGGGCTCTCACGCGGCTCGTCTAGCGGGGGGAGGAGGAGGGAAGGAGGAGGAGGAGGAGGAGGAGGAGGAAGAGCAGGAGGAGGAGGGAGGAGGTGTAGGAGGAGGAACTGGAGGAGGTGTTCGCAATGAACAGGACATGCTGTCGTCCTTCGTACCCATGCTTTCCGTACCCACCTCGATCGTACCGACCAAGGAGGATCCGTGCGGACCTCGGGGAGAGATCGTACCGTTGCGCCGCTCTTTCTGCTCCCGGAGAGGTGCCCGGCCGGTCCGAGGGCCTCGGTGCGTGCGAGGCTCGGCGGGCGTCCGCGCGGATCTCTTGGAACGGTGTTCAGAGCAGGAAAAGATGCCCATACTGCTACCCTTGCCTCGTTTTCCCTTTTTGCGGCCTCCTGGGAGGCCCTCGTCGCCACCACTGGATTCGCCTCGAAACTCTGGTCAGAACGCACCCCGGGAGCTCCACCCCCTGGCGCGCCGAGCGCGCCGGGGACGGCGGCGGAGGCGCCATTGGGAGAGACCCAGCGCTGATCCAAGAAGTCCGCGCGGAGTTTCGAAAGTTTGTGTGTGTTCCGCTTCTTCTTCTTCTTCTTTTACAGTCGGACCGAGGTCTCAGATCGAGGTCGGTTCGGGGAGGGTAGTCTAAGGTTCTTCGTGCTTTGGATGTACCTGTGCATCCTGGGGAGGGCACCATTGGACGTCCTGTGCGTTTTGGCCGGCGGAGGGTCTCATGTTCTTGAGGGATGTTCTTCTCGCCTTAGTCGGACTATTTCGTTTCTTCCTCTTTTATCCTCCGACGCCTCACTCGTCTTTTGGGCGTCTGTTGCCTGCAGCAGTTGGGCGACACGGGCTGCAGTGCGGCCAGTCTGCGCCCATCGGGCGCTTTCCGTTTTTGGCGCCTCCTGTTCTGCGGAGCTCCAGACGCCCAGGAAGGTCTTTCTGCTCTATTATCCTCCTCGTCCCTCCCCCCTCCCCTACTCCTCCTCCGCGCCCCCTCCTCCTCCTCCTCCTCCTCCTCCTCCCTCCTCCTCCTCCTCCTCCTCCTCCTCCTCCTCCTCCTCCTCCTCCTCCTCCTCAAGCAATTTGGGCCCAGGCATTCCAGGATTTGCCTGAGTCCAGGCCTCTGGGCTTCCGAGCAGCGCTTGAGGGACTGCACCCCAGAACCCGCCAGATTTCTAGGGTGCCGACGAACACAGAGGCAGCATGGCACGGTTGTGGTCGCGATGCACGAAGTGCAGTAAATGCGAGTGGAACGAGAAGCTTCTCCAGCAGAAGAAGGTCTGCTCGGGGTGTGGCACAACAGTCGAGCTCTACGTGAGGATGAAGAAAGTCTCCTTCCAGCGGGACACTTTCAACTCGGACGACGAGTTCTTGGACGCCTGGAGTGGTGATGAGGAGACTGAGGCAGGCGGACTACGCCAGCCCCTTCCTGCTGGCCCAGTGGGTATCCTCAGAGGTGGGCCACGCAGCTCGTCACCAGGGGGCTACCGAGGCGGAGGCAAGGGAGGTAAAGGTGGTGCAGGGCAAGTGCGTCAGCTGCTTCAGCAAGCATGCGGCGCCTCCCAGGACCCAGGGCTCCAGCAGGTGCTGAAGTCCCAGATCGACCAGCTCGCCAAGACGAGCACGGCCCCTGGCCCCAGTGAGACGCCAGTGGAGGCGCTCAGGAGGGTCGAGGGCATGGTGAAGAACGCCGAACATATGCACGAGCAGGCGGTGAACAGCGTCTTTCGGCTCCGCGGCAACCTGGCCGCGGCGGAGCAGAAGGAGGCGACGGCAGCGACGGCCTTAGCAGAGGCCCTTGCTGCGAGGCGAGCGGCCACGGCTGCCTTGGCCAAGGCTGAGGGCATAGGCCCAGAAGACGACAAGTCGAAGCTGGACGGGAAGCTCTTCAGCACCGGTTGGGATGCCCAGTTCTTCGAGAACTTGGCCGACATGGATTGCACCGATGGCGAGAAGACCGAGCTCGAGGGCATCCGCAAGCAGCTGGAGGAGGCCAAGACGTCCCTGGAGAGCAAGGAGACCGAGATCCGCCGCTGGCTGGAGACGACGGCGAAGCACAAGGCGGCGATCCAGGAGAGGATGGCCAAGAAGCGCCGCGGCGCCGAGGGGCAGGCAGCGCCACCCGCTGAGGCCTCCGCTGGGGGCGGGGGTGGCGAGGCCAAGCCAGAGGCGGCGGCGGCGACGGCAGGGCAGCCCAGTGCGGCGGAGGAGGACCCCGCGGCCAAGGTTGCCAAGGAGGAGACCATCAAGCAGGAGGCGCAGCGGCTGTCGGCGGCCAAGTTCGCTGCCAAGGCTGAGCAGGCCAAGGCGGTGGGCAAGGGCACGGCGGCGGCGACTACGGCAGCTGCGTGACGGTCCAGAACGGGGACCCCTCAGACCCCGACTGAGGGGCCGCTGGCGAATGATGACGAGACTACAATTTTTTACTCGAACATCACAGAGCTGACGGATAAAGCATGGAAATTCATTTCTCAGCGTGCACGCACATATAGTCATTGGGCCCTCGTCGAGACTCACGTTCAGCAGGAGTCCGAAGTACGAGAGTGGGATAAAAAAGCACGGCAATTGTTCTTGCGGATGGCGGTCAACCGTGCACGACCGTCAGGCAAGATCGTCAGTGTAGCCAAGCAGCGCCGTTCCAACGAGGGCGGTGAGATCTTTTTGTCACGGAACCATCTGCAATGTCATATTCTGCCAGAGGCGAGGACCTCCATGCGCCAGCTCAAGGCTGGCGTGCAGAACAGTTTCGACGGCTTTCTTCCGATGCTCATGCACCAGTCGGGGTTCTCTATTGTCATTGTTGTGTTATATTCACTCCCAAGCATCGGAATGACGGGTCGGAACCGAGAACGCTTTCGCAGACTCGGAGGCTTGTTGAGGGCGATGAGCATTCCTTGGGCAGTGATTGGGGACTGGAACATGACGCCAGAGGCGCTGATGCGGTCGAAGTTCGTGGAGAGGGTGGGTGGAGTTCTGCGCGTAGCTGATGTTGTTGGCACATGTGCGCAGAAAAAAGGAGAACCCGATAGCATGATAGATTACCTAGTTATGAGTGAATCTGCGGTTCCACTCGCGCGTAGTTTAGAGCCTGTGCGTGACGTAGCCTGGAAGCCTCATATAGCGCTCGTTTTGCGTCTTTGGTCGTCGGGGCTTAAGCTGCAGACTAGGGTCCTCCAGGTCCCGTGTAAGCTGCCGCAAGTTCCCCGACCGAGGACGGAGCCAACTGTAGGCTCCAAGGCCAGCAAAGCTAAGGCCAAAGCTTCCGTAGCCCGTGCTGCTGCTCACGAAAAGCGAGTAGCGGATTTTCAAGAACAATTCGGTGACTGTTTTGACCAGGCTGAGGGGTTGAGAGCTTTGGAGGGTGAAGGGACCCTCGAGGAGCCTCATGAGTTTTTTGAGCCTGATTTTTTGGACCCCGAGGAGGAAGAAGATCCTTGGGCCTCCGAGCTCAACTTCTGTAGCGATAATAACCTAGCTGATGCGTTTCAGTGTCAGCCTGTTGATGGGGGAAAGGCCCTACCCAGCGGTGTGCCCAGTGTGCCCAAGTGCGACCGAGCCCCGATGGAAAAAGAGCCCCTCGTAGAGTCTGACAATTCGGCTACGTGTGAGGCCCAGCCCCCCTGCGTTGAACCAGTCAGTACCCCAGTAGAGCAACGGCCTCATGACCGTAGTGCGCCTAACACTGTGAGGGGCAATTTATTGGACTCTAGCCGTGATGACACTGCTTTGCCGCAGGATAATGCCAGCGAGGTCGCGTTTGAAATCCCAGTTGAGACTTGGATGGAAAGTCGGCACTCGATTGGTTTTTCTTCTGGCGCCGATGTGGTGCAGCAGGCCTCCCCTTCCTCACCTCCTCCGTAGCCTTTCGGCTCGAACCACGACAAAGCGTTGCCATCGCTGGCATGTACGCGTCGTGGGTTTCTGCTGTGGAGAAGGCTGTCCGTACACATCATGATCTTCAGGTCACCCCTGGGGTGCCGCGGGCATGCGGACCCAGGTTCTCCGTGCAGCCCATGCGCGTGGTCGCACACGCCAGGGCCCTCCCGCTCAGAGATCAACGTAGCCAATGGTGGACGAGAGTGCACACCCTCTTACATGGAGTGGCCAGGCATCGTAGTCGTAACAACGGTGCTAAGCAGCTGCAGGACATGTACGAGGCGTGCCGCAAACTTCGTGAAGGCCGACCAGAGCGAGTCCATGGAGTACTTAACCTCGCTCGTGACCCTCCTTGGGAGCAATGGCTGCAGACACTACGAGACCCTGGTGGTATCAACATTGCTGTCTTGGAGTCGTATGTGGATGCGGCCAAACGTATCATGGGCAGAGCACAGCGGGCGGCTATGAAAGAATCCTTATCAGAATTTCAATCGTGGGTGGTTGAACCCACAGCGGCAGGGGTGTTGCACAAATCGCTGAGGCCTCAACCGTTGCCGACGATGGAGGTCTTTCGTGACGGGAAAGTGGTGCAGCACCCATCGGAAGTGATGAATATGAAAGCAGAGAAGTTCAAGCAATTGTGGGCCCCGTCAGCCCCACAGGTTTCTGAAGTGCGCGAGATCTTCAGGACTATCAGAGTTGCAGCAGAAATGGAACCCTTACCGCCGATCCAGGTCGATCAGATCTATGCCAGCGCCAAGGCCATGAAGGCTAAGGCGGGCATGGGCGTGGACATGCTGTCCCCAGTGGACTTCCAGCGGCTACCAGGCCCAGCGATCGCGGAGCTTGCGATCATCCTGCAGAGCATCGAGCATCTGCTGGTGTGGCCCGTGCAGACGATGATGGTGGTCGGCAAGCTGACCCCCAAAAAGGTGACGGGGGACAGGGCCATAGGCCTTGTCTCCATGCTGGGCAGGCTGTGGTCGCACGTTCGAGAGCCGATCGTGCGACAGTGGTCGGTGCAGGAGGAGCAGGCCTGGGACGCGGCGGTGGCGGGCAACTCGTGTTTGCAGGAGGCCTACCTCAGGGCCATCGATGAGGAGCTGGCGGCATGGATGCAGCTCCAGTTCGGCCACAACCTCGTCGACGTGCAGGAGTTCTACGACACGATCCCCTGGGCACCGCTGGTCAAAGCGGCGCTCAAGTTGGGGTTCCCACCCACGGTGCTCTACTTGGAGCTGCTGCAGTGCGTCGTGGTCCGCGCGCTGGAGCAGGAGGGGGCCGCGTCCGACCCTTTCGAGCCGTGCCAATCGGTGGTGCAGGGCTTGAGGTCCGGCACAAGGTTTGCCAAAGTTCTTACACATTTTGTTTTGAAAGTTGTGACGACTGCTACGCCGCAGATGGGACATCGAGTTTGGAT